GAGAGACACCAGTTCAACTTAATTGCATTTTTCTTTACCGTAGAAATAATCAGGAATACCGAAAGGAATCCCACATAGACAGAGGAAGAACGAGCAAATGTCACCCAAGGAGCAGGGAATTAATCTTTTTTTTTTTGCTGCCAAAATGTTTTTGCCAGCCTTGCCTAGTAACAATGTAAAAACCACATCATAGCCATAAACTAGGTTTTTACTTTGCCTAATGACCAAAGGTGGTCAAAGAGTAAACTGGGTGGCACAATCTGAGCCTTTTCAGGCAGCAATATTCTATCAATTTACCACAAAAACGAGAGTGACCTTAAACAAACTGGAACCTTCTCAACACAAACCCTCCAGAGAATCCTGTCGGCCCCCAAACCTCTCATTTGTTCTGTCCTGGGGCTCTCTGCCACACCCCCGGTCGCACACATCCTGTCAGGTTGTCTAAACTTCAACGGGGGGGGGACTATATATAAATATGCCCAAGCTATTTTTGCCACACATCCCCCCTCCCTCAGTGAAGGGTGATATGAAGTGGCATGCTTTTGTCACCCTCAGTGCCAGCTCCATGCTGAACCCAGTTCCCACAAGTTGCCACCTCAAACACACCCCTGGGTCACGTGAATGTCGTCTTAACCCCCACCCCAAGGAACACAAATAGGCTAAACTACTGCACCAAATCCATGTGTTCTGTGCTGTTTTTAAGCCGGGGTTACCAGAGTGGTCCAGGCTACAATTCCTCTGCACCACATATTGGGAATTGTTTGGTGGATCTGGGGTTCAAATTAGTGACATGTAAGTAGTGCAGATGATGAGGGCAGGACACTCTAATTATTTTTGGCTTAGTTATTACAAAAAGCTGCAGGATCAGACATGAGAATGGGAACTGCTGTTGTACCCTTGAATGAACACATATAACCTTAATGGTTCTGGCAATCCCAAGGTGAAATTATACACTAAACTTCACTTGCATTTCATTATTATGCATAAGGGCATTTTAGGAGAAGAAGTCAGGTGACCAGGTGTACGGCATTGACCCACATCTTCTGTTCCTTGTTTTCTAACTTACTAAAAATTTATTTTTTTTCTGTTGTCCCTAAGCAAACTGACTCCAACATTAACCCTGCAACTATCATGTACTTTCATCTGTCTGACGTCCAGGGTTGGACGGGGATTAAATATCAGCCCGAGAGTTGGCAGGTGCACAGGGCTGGGGGGGGGGTCCTGTAATAACTTTTACCAAATGATACATTTCGCCAGGTGAGGGGGGTGTAAGCTGGTGGTGGATGGTCTGCCACAATAAATTCTGGTGGCCCACATAACCATCAGCCCACTGGGAAAATGCCCAGTATGCTGATGTCCCATTTCAGTGCATGATTTCCCGTCTCATCCAAGCAGTGTTTATTTTTGTTTTCAGTTGCATCCACAGGTTCCTTTGTGTCACTCTCTTCCCTGCCCCTTTCTGGAGACCCGTACCCTGAATACAGCCCAGTCCCCCTGCTCATCACATCCTCCTATTTGCCACCTACCTTTATACATCTCACAGTACTATTTTAAGACAGTACAAGATTAGGACAGCAACTCCCTAGTGGTGCAAACAAAACACAAGACAGGACGACACATGTGACATTTAACATGTACAGAGGTGCTGTACCCTTGTAATTGTACCTTTTAAGGTATAGAAATCGACTCTGGGAAGCATCCCAAAGGTAGTCAGCAAAAATGTCCATTTCTGTACCTTAAAATGGTACAAGTCTTATATTGCAGAACAAGCACTTGCCTAAGACCTCAAGCAAAGGTGTATTAACCCTAATACCACCAAGCTCACCACTGCTGGGCCCACACCCAGACACTCTTCACCAAAACACCAAAAGTCCCAGCACCACAAAGGTGATGGCAATCCAGCCTCGATATACAATAATATCTACGGCAGCACCAGCAATTCCAGGCATCCCAAAACTGCCCTCTGCAGCACCACAGATGCCAGGCACAAAACCAGCTACTCCTGCAGAGCTCCACACACTCTGCTGTCATCGGCATCTTAGATCCACATGGATCTTCCTATGGACAATGCAGAGGACTGACTATAATGATTCGAAGCTTCTTTCCTCCCTTTTCATCGGCTAAAAAGTTGTGATTCACCAGCCCAAGCTCAGGGTCCAACAGATCTGCAAGTACACCCATGCAATAGCCTTTCAAATTGTCATTTAGAAGTATCTGTGAAGATAACTGAAAGAGTGCCATACTCATGACAATATTCATTACATAAACTACACAGAAATACACAGAAACATTCATACATAGGCTTACATAAGTCTCAGCTTGTATTAACACACATATTAGCTTTAGGAGAAGTATTGTTGGGTAAAACTAGTCTTCAGATCCATTCATCACTGCCTTATTTTCGCTAGCTCCAATTAAGACAGTATCCAATGGGTAGTTAGCTGTACTAGTTAATTATTGGTAGGGTATAAATAGTTAAACTGCCAATCTGCGATTTCTCGTGTTTAGTGTATTAGCTGAATTAGCACATTCCTCCAACATACCTAATCCAATAAAGACTATCCACACAAATGAAGAGGGGACAAGGGTAGATTTATCTGTAATGAAGGGGGTGTATGAAAACACCCACCACATACTCTGGAAAATGTACCCCTTATACACAGTCTGTTCAGTGAGGTGAAGTGGTGTGCAATGACAAAGGTATAGCAATGTCACGAAATAAACATCATGGTGCGCTTTTACGAAGAAAGCTAATAACGTAACACGCTTACCCATAAGGTCTCCCTAAAAATTTTTTAAATGTGCCATATTTAGTAAGCAGGGAGTGAAAAAGACCCGGCGGTCTCGTGTCGCCTGTTGGCTCATTGTGATTCTGATCAGGATCCCGATTCATAGGAACCTTCCCCGCGGAAATTCAATGGGGGGAAAAATACAGAATTTCCGGAGAGACTTTATTTTCCCCACCCGGTTTCATTTAACAGGGAGAAGGCACGTACATATTCCCTTCACGTAGCAAACCTACCCGATATCTGGGCGTAATGTCAAACAAAGCTGACTGTTTCCAGCAAGAGTCCTCATTCACGAGGAAATAACAAACGCCGGGTGCCGGATGACCCTCCTAAACGACGTCAACGCGCCCCCACCCCCCATATTTCACATCTCCAAAAAACACACGAATACCCGCTGACATCTTCTAGTTAAGATGAGAATGTCGAAATGTGGTTGAATTAAACTGAAAAACGCTGAATTCGCCTCCCTCGTAATCGAGATGCGGAATCTTCGTGGAAAATAAATGGACGTTGATAAAACTAAGCAGGTCAGATACATTAGAATAAATTTGACAATAGTGGCTACTGCGTTGTAAAGACATCATGGAAACGTGCTATCCTTGTCCAGACAGCCAATTTTCCCTGCTTGAAATAACTAAGTCCACGTCAAGTGTTCGGTCACGGTGGGAAATGTTGTTTCCCAGTGGAGCACATTACCTGGAATTAGCATCTACCATAGGCCTATCTGTATATCGACTCGCTATATGCACCAGCGGTCTTCACTGAATCCGAACAGTGCGATCGATTCCCACCTTCACCCCCAGTCGGTCAATTTTACCGTCGATAGATAATTCTCACACAGTGGACCTTGGCATTGTGTTGCTGATGGAGTTTAGCCCTCGTGGAAAAAATGGTTGGGGACCCCTGATACACTGGATGTTGATTAAGTGGGCGTTGATTGTAATGTTATTTGAAGTCATATTGGTCTTCTTACTGTCATATACACAGTTATACTTTTAATCACTTTGCCCTCGGAATCTCAGGATTTCTCTGTCTACACAACATAGTAATATATATTGTGCTACTCGTGTAATTTAAGCACTTTAAAATTAACAAACATGTTTGTTCATACGCATAAAGATAACGTGTGTGTTTGTGCCCAAGAAAATAACATTTATGATTCCTTTTGAGAAAAAAAACGTGCTGGTGTGACATCGCACACCGAAATATTAATATTATGCAAATATCGCTCCAGATGCTTATCACACCTTTGTATCTGTTGAATCTGCTATAGTAAGAACATCCTTTCTGGTAGCCTAACAGATGTTGTCGAGTGCCCTTCACCCTGATAACGGCTTCTGTTATGTAAAGGAAAAAAATTATGAATGAACCCGGTGAGAGAAATAGCAAACGGTGTCTTAGTATTCAGTTCACACTTATAGGCCTACTAATTGTCCGGCTGAGGCACGTAACGTAATTTATCTATTCTCAACGATAAAAAGAGACGGCGGTGACCACTGTGCAGGCCTATTAGAATTTATATTTGTAAAATCAACAAACTACCAAAACGAGACTTCCAATCGTGCCACATAAAGCATTTGTCGTGATCATGTCTATCATGTTGTGATTTATAAAGACGCCAAGACTGGTAACTGATTAAACATAAGAGCATTGACATCTGCATAGAATATTGCATTTATGCTTTTCTAGAATAGTTAAAACAGTTAAACCCACTAATCATGGAACATGTCACCGTACCACATAAATGAATTAAAAGATGCTGAAATGCAAATTAATCGCAACACTACATTTTTCATCACACACACACACGCACACACACACACACACATATATATATATATATAACTTTCACTTAATATATATATAGTATAACTTTCACTTAATATAGAAACGGTTTGTTGCATGTCTATAAATACCAACGTCTGATTTTAAATTACGTCATAAATCGATTAGATGTGGACCCAGGCACTAAACAAAAATGTCAGGTTGAAATGATCTTCTATATAAACCGAAAATTGTGACATTCTACAGTAAAATACATTAATTACTGCTCCAGCCCCAGGTGAAATCGTACACAAAGACCTGTTTTGTTTTAAGTGAAAGACTTTGGGTTGGCGGCAGCGGATCGTGACAGTACTTAACCGTTTAAAGCAGTGGGCTACATGACACGTCCACCTGCCAAAACGCAAGCTTTAAGAGCGAGGCAGAATATAAACAAGACTTTCAATGAAATTCTGTCGTCATATTACTTCGCTGATAAAAATCGAGGCTATTTTATTATCGTTTTGATTGATATTCTGACCACAGTGCCTCTGATTCACACAGACCATCATGACTATAGTGAAGACTTTTGACGTCAGATGTGGGATTCGTCGGCACGTCCAATGGGGGTAGATATTAACCGAGTAGCGGTCCCTGCCAACTGCCAACAATATTAGCAATGTTAGCCAAGGAGTAATGCGCATTTCCCAAGGACTCTACGATTGAAAATTAAAAATCTACCCAACGGCGTGCAGAAAATAAGAAGACAAGCAACTGGTAATTTTAATCTCTCACCCCTTTATATGTCTCCTATCTGCATCTCGCGCTGCTTAAGTGCCTGTCACGGTTTGTGCTTATCTTTTTTTCTTCAGAGCATCGCAGCTTGATGCAACCGAGGTATTGTTTGGAGGTGATACGCACGATTGCTGACTCCTGTTCAGATTTTTTATGTCCGCTAAATGTTGAATAGTAGGGGACCGCAAGCGACTTATCCAGCGCATGCAAAACAAGAATGCAATACAGTCTAAAGGAATTGCACCGTTTTGCTTCAGACGGTGACCTCCCCGAGTCCTTTATAAGTCGCGTTTTTCAGTGTGTATATGAACGGCAGGGAAATTTGTGAATGAAACGCTGGCACGCTGAGTTTAAAATTAGCTCTCGCGTTTTCTGTCTGTGTTCAGCGTCAAGCATGTAATAGAGTATGGTTACAAATTCAACGTCATTAATAGCTCTGGCAGAAAATATTTAATCCCACATGATTGTTATTCTTAAACCTACCGTCTAAAAATAGATACTTGATTAAACAGTGTCATTTAGAGCAATTCAAAGGAATACAAAATTGATGATAATCCAAGTCATGGAAAATGCATGATTTCTTTTGCAAGGCAAGTGCGCTAAATCTTACTGTATTTTATTCATTTCATTTCTTTGTGATTTGTGCTTCCCCGTTTTAATGTGTTATCTAAGCATGATTTGTTAAAGATACGGTATTGGATTCAAGAAAGGATTTAACGCACATTTCAAACGACCTTTATAGTTAATGTTATCTATGTTGCATGTGGCTTTAGTATTTTAGTGGCGTAAGCGAGACGACTATTATACACAGTTGTTAATTTTTGCTTACTTCATGTCTGGATAAGCTATGGACTATTACATATACATGTAAAGGTTCTGGAAAAATATGTTCACCTCATATTTCAGTATTTTCTGTATTTTTCCATTCAAAAACACACTCTGACTGACTCTTCTTGCTTGTCTTGTCTGACACGCGCTCTTTCTCCCCCCCCCCCCCCCCCCCCCCCCCCCCCCCCCCCCATCCCGATGTCACAGCTATGATTCACTCTTTCGCTGCGGCAATGAGCAACCCAATCCAAAACACATCTTCCTTCACCTCTGGAACCTGGAATCTCCTAGACCCGCGAAACTCATCACCTGTCCGGATACCCGAGCAGCAACCGATCGCTGTTAGCCCCTGGGACATTGCGTTCTGTGTGACAGGGACACTAATCTCCTGTGAAAATGCCATCGTGATTGCAATCCTATTTTACACGCCCACCCTGCGTGCGCCTATGTACATACTCATAGGAAGCCTCGCCTTCGCGGACACGTTAGCTGGGCTTGGTCTTATACTTAATTTCATCTTCACATACATGCTGAATACGGAATTCGTTACTCTGATCTCCGTTGGACTGCTCATCTCCGCCTTCTCCGCCTCCGTACTTAACATCCTGGCTATCACCGTGGACAGGTACCTCTCTCTATACAACGCACTGACCTACCACACGGAGCGAGCTGTGACTTTCACCTACGTCATCGTGGCGCTCATCTGGTTCGTCTGCATAGCGCTGGGTTTGCTGCCCCTGTTGGGCTGGAACTGCCTGCGAGACGAGTCCTCCTGCAGCATTTGTCGGCCGGTCACCAAGAACAACGCCGTCGCACTGGCGGTAACTTTCCTGCTCATCTTCGCGCTCATGATGCAGCTGTACTTACAGATCTGCAAGATAGCTTTCCGCCACGCCCAGCAGATCGCCGTGCAGCACCACTTCATGGCCATATCCACTACTAAAGGCGTGTCGACCCTTTCTGCCATACTCTGTACGTTTGCCATCTGCTGGATCCCCTTCGCCATGTACTCGATCGTGGCGGACTCTAGCTATCCAATTATATACACGTACGCCACAGTCCTCCCTGCCACCTGCAACTCAGTCATCAATCCCATTATTTACGCCTACAGAAACCCCGACATTCAGAAGTCCTTGTGGCTGGCTTGCTGTGGATGTATCCCCACAAACTTCTCTCTAAGGCCAAGGACGTCAAGTGACGTATAGTCTCAGTATAAGTGATAATTATTGCCAGCCATATTCTCGGTGTTTTATTTGGTCGACATGCACACTTGTATTACGTATACGTTTTGGTCGGTGTAAATTTGACTAATATTTGCGTAACCATGAGAAAGCGTGAATAACTGACTACTCTACTCTAGTTGCCTGCAAGTCGATTCTGATCACAGGTTATCGGGATCTAAATACACAGCCACATGTGTATGACCATTCGGTTTTTATAGACCTATGTGGATATATGCGAAGTCGAGGTATGAACTGTGAAATTTGGCCGGGATGTAGGTCCTTCGAGTCGCGCAAAGAGACACGTGAAACGCTGGATACGGGCACTAGGCAGGCCAGTCTTTAAAGACCTCGTTTGTGTAAGTCTGTACGAATGCATCAAGGTAACCATAAATGTCATAATTAGAAAAAATGACCAAACTCTCAGTACCAAAAACATTTATGTAGGGTAATGTGTTAAATACCCTGCAAGAGGTTTTCACAGAAAGCAGCAAGTTAAGTTTAAGATACTCCTGCCTTAGCCGCGAAACTGTATTAATCTGATCGACAATTACGTCAGTGTCGTTCCAAAAAATTGTATGTTTAAAATGACGTGCAATGAGGTAATTTCACGTCAATGCGTAATCCAGTTTATGCTCTATTAAGTAAGACTATTATCGTGCCAAGGAATTTTCTCCTTGGTCATTTGGCATTTCGAATTATTAAATGCACCCGTTGAAATGAAGTTTAAGGCACACAAACTAAATGGAAAAGAATGGTGGATTTGACTTGAGATTTATTAATGACTTATTAATGACATTGGCTTTCACGTTTAAAATGGCCAAACATTAGAATGAAAATAGCATGCGCACTTCCTCTTTTTCTTTGTACTGTATAGGCATGCAAAGATAAACGTGGAGGAAGCAGAACTAAGATAAGAGATAAGAGCCGCAAAAGCACAGCCGCAAAACGGCATCGCATCAGCACCATGGACAGCAGTAGACATGCTTTTCGAAATGGTGAGACTTTCGGTGATTCGATGTAGGCATAGATACACCATTAAGGAATGATGCAACCAAGATCGCACAAATTGACAGACGTCTAGGGTTGAGGTTGACGTAAAGTTGTCGGGTCAATTTTGTCAACAAATGCCTTCATGCGGTGTCACTTTAATTCTTCTATGAGAAGATGTTTAAATTTGGTTTTCGAAACCATAATGGCGCTTAATTTATTTAGGGTTAAGGGAGACAGTAGAAAATGTGTAGAAAATATCCTATAGACCTATATAGGTAACACTGAATACTGTTTTTTAGCAGTAGGCGATTTGGTCAAATGTGAAATGGTGAATAAATTTTATGCAGTACTAATATAAAAATTAGGCCTAGTTCATATATATATATACTGATACAGTGTATTTTTTCATATGACTCGGCTTCTCCCTATGCCAGTCATTTGGTAAGGGAATAGACCATGACACAATGACATAAAGGCAACGACAGCAAAATATTTTCTTACGAAATCTAACTTCTAAAATCCTGTAAGGCATTTTGGCACAAGCGCAATTTAACCACTTAACAAAGAAACAGAATACAGTGAATACGATATCTGAACATGATATCTCCGTATCTGAAAACCGTTTTGTTCAATTTGTTAATTCTTCTGCCTCTGGCCATAACCCCCACCCACCCATAATTAGAAAATCAGCCTCAGTAAATCGCGGCGGCTTCAACACTGAAGCTAATGAGTTTTCACTCCGGTGTCAGCGAAAAGATCACAAATCACAATTAAGCTGCCATTCTAAAGCAGGGCCATGTCTGGCATGAATCACGATCTGCACATTCAGATTACCGACATGGGGAAGCGACTGTAGTCACATTTCACCGTTTCTCCGTGCTGTTTTCTGCTAACGTATCCACTGTACTGTAAGAAAAATCCAAGTCATTGTAAGACGCACAGGCAGAGGTGACAGCACAAAAAAGACCTCAGATAACGAGTGTTTAGATTGCCGATTAAAGAGACAGCAATTTAAACGTAGCATTTTCCTGGAAAAATATAGACATAGGGCAATTATTTGAACATTACATTCTTTCTACGAAAATGTCACGATGATGGAAGATGTTAAGAATTATGTTATTCAACGCTGTTACCAAAAGATGAGAAAAAACTTGACTTAACTCTAAAATGGCGCACACATGCTGATGTACTATACGGGACGTAACCGTTTTGATACAAAAAAGAAGCTTTTTTAACGTTTCTTTTGAAGAGGACCAGCAAAAGATCATTGCAACGTCCCGTGTTGGTCGCGACACGCAGAGTTTGTAAATATTCGTCTGGCCTTATTTCTGCGTTCCTGCAATAACGTGTCACCGTGTATATGGGTGTTCATTAAAATGTACGAACAGGAGGAGACCTCTGACAGATGTCAAATTCCATTCTGAACAGAGCTAATGAACTTTTCACAAGATGAAAAAAAAAAACATATTTAAGCACCAGAATTACAAAGTTGTGGCAGTTGTGAGTGTGTGTTGAGTGAGTGGCCTGTTTTCTTGTGTGGAAAAAATATGTTCAGGTTCTTTTCACTCTCACACCCTTTATGTGGGACTATGACTCGGCTACATCATTTGTGGCGTCTTATTCTCTGCGGATCAAAGACTGTGTGGGACAGTGCATGTGAGCCTGGTTGTGCGTGTGCGTGCACATGCATCTTCCCCACCGGGAGAACTTTCGGTGACCTATTTTTTAACAGTTGATTTATTTCTGCATGACTCCCCCTTTTGGTGAAAAGCTTACCCTCAGTGGCCGTTTCTTTGCTCCTTTTGTCGGCTGGTTCTGGCCTCGCTAACAGCTAGCCTACCTGCAGTCATAACTTCTTCACAGCAGCTGACTCAGACGATAGGCGGCCTCTATTGGATGGAGAATTCCAGTACAGCTCCAGCCCCTGTTCTCCTTCACATGGAGGTATTTTGTCCTCGATCATTCGAGGCCAGAATATGCCAGCTGCTATGGTACTACTTTGGGTAAGATCGAGAGAAGGAGGACAGGGAGAGTACTTTGTCGTTCTGTCTTTGCATGCAGACAACTCTTAGCTGGCAGAAAAACGTCCAGTTGCCGCCAAATGCTGCTGGAGCCAAGCGTGTGATGAGGTTATGACGCAAAGATCACATATATGACAACTGTGGCAATCTTCTCTGGGTATATGTGTGTGTCTGAAGCAGTGAGGTGCACAATTTAAGAAACCTTACCCCAACCACCAGGCCAGTAATACTCAAACCAGGGATGGAACTTGGAGGGACTCAGAATCTCTGCAAATTCTCTCCATCTAGAGTCATGATCCTTTTGGCATTCCAGGTAAAAGATAGCTTCAGGATTCAGCCACAGGATCAAAAACAACCGGCCCTGGTTTAAGCACTGCAGGCTGCTCAAACCTTCATGGTTTTACACCTAGTCCTGACAGACGTTAATGTTTTGTGATGATATGTGTTGTGTTGTATGAAAAACACGTTTCTAGGGTGCCATATTTACGTTTTAGGGTAACGGTGGCTGTCTTTCTTATGCAATGCTGTGCTGGAATCTATATTTTTATATTTATCTCGAGAGGGTATGTTCAAAAATAGTCAATGTGCATGAGTGATTGTTACCTGTATTTTTTTTTATATCGTATAAGTTTAATTGTATTTTGGAGATGCTAAACGTGCCACCTTCTCTCAAGTGTCTTCATCTGTCCATCGAAATTTAAACGTAACTATTATTTTTAAGGTGTTTGAATTTCAAAAGAAAAATGCTAAGTGACGATGAAACGGTAAAAAAATGTAGCCCAAGTGCACGTTGCATCAGCACTTACATAAAATGGGGCGGGCTTTACTCCAGCTCTCAAAAGCCATTGGTCTGCAGGAAATAGGCGAAACAGCAGGCTAACCAATCAGGACTCGGTCAAAAGAAGCGAGATTTACTCCGCCTCCGTCTTTGTGTTTTCAAGGGGGGGGGGCAATAGGATTAAGTATCAGAGGGGTGCAGGGCATATCGCCATTGACAGCTGTCTGGGGACAAGAGAATTTATTCTGGTTCTCAATTTCCAGTGTTCTTGGGAATGAGGACGAAGCACAGTTGAACTCAGATGGATTAAATTGCCAATGATTTATATTGCCCCCTGAGAAAACAACGAGTCTGAAATATACACCTGGCATGATGAAAAAGGCAAGCTAGACATTTTAGCCTGTCTCAGTTAATGCCTTTGCTCTGTTGGAATACAAAGATACAGACGATAAAAAATAAGGTCATTTTCTCGAAGACTGTATTACTTTGGAATTCTTTCACGGATATTTCCAGCCGTTCTAAAATAAGTGCTGAAATTTAGGGCAAAATTCCCTTTTTTCCTCGCTAAATAGCACCGTCCTTCCGCCTAGTGGCCGAAGCAGAGCTGAATCTACGCCATAATAGACTGCCCTAAATTCAGGGCTATAAAAGGAGAAAAACTTGGACCCCATTTATGACGGATGCATGAAAACACTCACGGCGATTTAAAAAACAGACGAATTTCTGTCCTCACCTTTTTTTTTAATCCACCATCCCCGTCTCCAGCTATTCCGCCCCATGTAAAATGTCACCTTGATCTCAATGTGATTTTGCTCAAAACTACCACCGAGAGTGTAAAAATAATATCCTGAAATGTGTTTTGTGAGAGATTTGAATTAAAGGGGGAGGGAAGCTAGTAGGATTATAACTGTGACCTTAACATAGATATTGTCTTTCGATGTGAAATTTAACTTATAATGAAATACAAGATGCACTTTACAAAAGACTGGGGAGGGGAGGGGGGAGAAACCATTGCACTCTGTCGAATGTACGATGTGTATGACTTGCTGAAAAATATAAATATTTTATTACGGCAAACATGAAAACAGACAAAAAAAAACAGATTAAAGTTTTATCAATTAAAAATAACGTTCAGAGACTGGAATGTGTGTCATTGAGTATTTTATGAGGTTTTTTTTGGATTTTTGCCAGCCCCTGCACTTCAATTTTAACGCAGACGGGCAAAAATAACTGTACTGGAAACTTTTCTTTCGGTTAGTCGTCGGTACTCCCGCTGTGGTTATTAGCGCCACCTGCTGTCTAGGGAAGTAAATGCATCAGTGTTTTATTCATGTTCAGTTTTATTCACGGATGACAAGGACAGCTAGGCAATGCAAGGCAATTCAGCAGGACCTTATAACGCTCCTATATATCACAGTAAAGCGATATTGTATAACAGTATTAGTAAAAACTGGTATAAAAGTGTTTCTCTTTGATTAGGCGGGTGCATCCTTTCCTCTTCGATTCTCATCCTCACTGGTGAAAAACTGGTGATAATAACGTTCAAATCCAGGCCAAGTAACCGGCGTTAGATTTCTTACTCATTTCACACCAAAATATATTTGATTCTTAAATAGCTAGAACAAACAGATAAGAAAGAATGAAGGTCGAAATGTTTGTGTTTCCATGTTTTATTAGTATTCCGCACATGCATAATCACCTATATTTTGCTCCATGGATACATACACGTTTGTTCTTCAGATAAAGGTACTTTACAAGCAGTCTTACCAAAAATCTATACAACGTCTCATTTAGAACACAAAATATACTTACTAAATGCAGGCCAAACAGACATCTCAGCTGTTGATGAGTAAATTCAGTAGTAAAGTTGGAAGTTGCACTGTCCCAGTTCTCACACATCCCGGCGGCACTAAAACAACGACGACGAAACGGAGATTCAGACCCCTGCCCGGCTTAAGCCTCACCGTCACTGTCCGAGACGCACAGAGAAATACATCTTAGCCGGTACTGAAATAAAGGGAAAAACGGGGCATCGAAAGTCACCGAAGTGTTAAATGGCAGCCCTGTGTACATATTTACATATAGGTTCGTGACCAGTGTACTTACATTAAATGTTAGCTGTGTGATTGCAGAAATTCTAGCTTTACAGAGCCACCGCATGTTTTTTAATTAAACCTAAAATCGATGTTTTAACATGCTGGGCATCGATGCTCCGCTAGCACACACTTAAAAAGCATTTCTTTTTTTTTGGTGGGAATGGATATACCGCATGCCCAATTACACAACACCGGGGTAGCGGGGCTCTTCCTCTTTTCGTTTGGTACGTAGGCAGAACGCTTTCGAGACAGTTTGTGCTTTATATTGATTAAATAATTATATTAACTAATCGTTTCCTGATGGACACACATGTACACGCACACACAGAGATTTAATCTTATCGTAGATGTACTTAGTCCTCGTCTGGCAGCTCTCCCTGCTGCTCTCATATGAGCGAATGTGAGGATTGTTCGAGCTGGATGCTTTATACATAAGCATTGCGACGATCTCAGAAGGTTTTCGGACTAATTCAGTACAGTCGATGTTTGGCTGGTTTACAAATGTGCAGGCGTGACATCGCCGACGCCTTCTCCAGATTTTTCCCCCCGGAATCGTTGTATTTGTATGTACAGGCAGCTGTAAATTAAACCGCGACTGGGGAGCTATCAAAATGGCTCGACATTGGGATGCGGAATGAGGTCACTTTAATAGGACAAAACTTCTTTGAGGAGGGTAGAGGGGCTCTCGGGAGGAGGGGGGACATTGCCTAAATTTTGGACATGATCATGGATTCTGTGCCTTTTATTTGGCAGCTGACTTGGACTGGTCCGGCAGAACCCAGATGTTTTAACCATAAATACTGTATACAATATACACTTCAACAGCACATGGTGTCTGGTGTTAAATGGATCTTGCTCGCCCTCATATCCCCACTAGAGGGCTCCCTAATATCTCAGCTACTGCCTATTCCACCTCGTGCCTGAGACTGTATCAGTGTTGTTAGTGTGAGTGTATAAACAAATGCCTTTGAGAGTGTCGGCCTGGACCCCCCCCCCCTTCTCCCCTCTGAGTTATAAGGGTGTTAACAGAGTAAGTGATAATGAGGCTATTTGAGAGCAGCTCAGGCCCGGCCTCTTCCTCCCCCTGCGGCCGCTCGTCTTCCTCAGTCGGACCATTCATTCTCGTCCAGCTCCGAGTCGTCGTCGGACTCGCTGTACTCCACGGCGATGCGGCGTGACAGGATGGTGGCCACATCGTTGCCCACCGGCTCCTTCTTGGCTTCCTGCTCACGCTGTTCCTGCACCTTCCGCAGCTGGATGCCTGGTGAAAAAATAACCAGAATCCCCTGCTTCTGCAAACTGGTAGCTGTACAGGGGGGCAGAGCTGTATGCTGTACGAATGTTTTACGTTTTGCCTGCGATTAATAACATCTAAAACTGTCCTTCTCCTCTTTATGTGAGCCAGAGACAAATCAAATTAATTGACTGCAGGCATCGAACCCGGGAAATCCCATCATGCATTGGGATGGCCATGGATCCCACCCACTCACCTCTGCGAATGGCGGCCAGCAGGTCGCTGCGGGCGTCACTCATGGGGATCAGCGGCACCTGGCCCTTCCTGGGCATTGGCTCACCAGCAGGCGGGACCACGGCGCGGGCCGGAGAGAAGGCGTGGGTTGGGGGCCCCGGTGGCGGGGGTGGGGGGGCCATGGGTGGGCCGCCAGAGGGTGGGTGGGAAGGAGATGGGACGTAGGAGGCGGGAGGTGGAGGGGGGGATGGGGTGTAGGGTCGGGACATGGCAGCCACCGCACTGGGGGGCAAGGCGGGGGGCGTCGCCGGGCTGTCGAAGGCTGTCTGGGCGGACGGGATGAGGGGCGGCGGTGGGGGAGGGGCCGGGGGCACGAAGTACTCGGGCATGGGCATCTGCTGGCTCCTGTGGAGCAGAAACACACAGACTGAAGCACAAAACGCTGGCTGTCAATCAATCGATCGATTAATCAATCAATTACTCGGCATGGACGACTGTGAATGGGCACCAACCCGTAATCCTTGACCGCTTGCGAGCGGGGGCCGTTGAGGGCAGAGTCGACAGGCGGGGCAGCGTGGGGGGGCTGCACGCGGCCCAGGGAGTTCTGCCTGCCGCTGGGGGCGGTGCCAGCCGGCCGGAAGGGGCGGTCCAGCGACTGGGTCTGGGAGGGGGCCGTCAACATTTCTCTGCCCTCCGTTACTGAGTGGGCGCCAGAGGCACCGGCCTGCTGGGCAGGATGGTTGGGGCTGGCAGGGTAGGACCGGTCACCCACATCCGAGGCCACGGACCTGGGGGGGGGCAGAATATATCACTCTGTTATGGATGCAGCAATGGCATTAGAATCAAAAGAGACATTGCAGTACGATTTAATAATAGTCAGTCAAATATACGGCTTTATGTTGTTGACTAATAATAATAATAATAATCTACAGCTTGACAGTAGAGGGCATCAGCGAGTCAGGCAGCCCAGGGGTCACCGCAGCTGGGTTGGGGACGTGCCCACCTGCTGTCGGGCGAGAGGGAGCCCTCTGAGGACATCCCGTGGTAGGGCGATGGCGTGAAGTGCGTATCCGGGCGGAGCTCCTTGTCGTACGCCATCATGTTCCACTCCTGGCGCCGGTTCCGTGCCTTCCGCACCTTCTTAACCTCGCGACTCGGGTCCTCCACTTGCTTCTGCTCCTGGAAGAGAGAGAGAGAGAGAGAGAGAGGTTGGGAAGGAGGGAGGAGAGACCTAATTACAAAAAAAAAAAAAGATTTTTTAGAAAATCCAAAAATAAGTGGATATTGGGTCTGTGTGGGCATCTCTTTAATGTCAGAGATATTTAGAAAAAGAAGGACGTTTACAATATTAATAACCTCCCAACCTCATTCACCATAAATGAAGCTAGCAGTCAGCTTGGGTGGGGGGGCAGACTGCAGCCCAATAACGAGAGGCTGGTTATCTTGTGGTAAAAAGAGGAGGCAGCAGAGCCTCTGAAATGGAGCTACTGGTTTACTGAACACTGCAGTGCATTCAGGGAGCTCAACACGCAAAACCCCCCACCCCCCCCACCCCCGGTATGTATATTTATACTTAACACACACTCACCCTCACCTTCTGCCTCCTCTTTTCCTTCCTCTTGTCCTCAGTTGCCTGCAGCATCTTCTCCTTCCACAGATTAAAGAAGTAAGACGGATCTGTGTAGAACTTGAGGGCATCCTTCTTGTCATCCCTGCAGTGTGGGACACAGTCAGCAGGGGGCAGCAAACACACCTGGCGCTGACACGAGGGCTGTAGATTTTGGTGAGAAAAACCCACCGGTATGGGGTGAGGATGTTGAGGGGCGGGGGCTTGTCGCAGTCCTGATAGCGCTCTATGACAGGGTTCGGGATGGACGTCCTGGAAACCACTTGCTGGTCCTGAATGGTAGAGCTCTTGAAGGCCTTCCGCATGTTGATGTCCTGAAGAGACACTGTGCAAGCACACAGATGGAGACGGGCGTTGATCACACATCCATACGCACACACACTCAAACATGCAGAAGGTCGCAGACGCCAAACTATTACCCGCTGGCAAGGACTTAACTGGATACCTGGAGAGCGAACATATTAATTAAACCCACAATATAAAATGCATTTTATTAGGGCTCATGCTCAAAATTAAACTTTCCATGGAACGTAAAATCAATTCCACATCCCATTTACATTGATTGAATGGTCTGTTAAACACTAAAATTACGTTTTCATTTTGCGTAGCGCAACTGGAAGGCTTTAAACACACAGAACAAGCAGCTAAACAGAGAGGAGATCATTAAATATAAAGTAAAAGCTGTGTTATGAAATTTGGATTAGTGAGCCAAGGCATCAGTGCAGATGAAGCTTTGAGTTTTCAGTCATCCCTAACATGGTCGGGGCTTTAAAACTAGTGTCCTATAGGATGATCTTGGAGGCGGGGCCAAATGCAGTGATTTGCTGACCAGGAACAGCTGTAATCTTGCCTTTCATTGGGGAGAATTAAATCATAGTTGCACTGGCTTTAAGGGGGCACCTTAAGCACTCCCTGTAGATGCATGGTACAGTTCACCAGCCCCCCCCCCTTTCTGAGTTACTATTTGCTAACCCACCCACATATTTCCATCCCCCATTTATGGTGCTGTCTGTGGTACAGACCCACCCACCGCCTCCCGAATAAAGGCTATTTTTACCTCAGTGAAACTGTCGCACAATTCACTAGGTTGATAGAAACTCATCCACGGTTACAAGCTTCTCTCTCTATCTTACATAACCAGGGCAAATTCATTCTTGCAATAATCACTAATTCGTTACTTGATGCTATTATCCAAATTTAGAAGTTTAACTCATTTACACAGATATACATTTTATAGAATCGTTGATCTATCTTCTTTAAGGGTGCAATAAACAGTTGCCTTCCGGATAACAAACTGACCGTGTTCAAAGTACGAATGCCGTAAATACGTCTGGCACGGTACCTTTCACTCCAGTCAATGCCCCTACATTGTAGACCACAACCCCCCAACAAAACTGGCCCCACCCACCTTCCTCCACAGTGGAGTCCAGCTGTGTGACTTTCACAGCCAGGAGATCCACTCTTTCCTGCAGACTGTTCATCCGCATGTAGAAGCTGTTGGCTTCATTGAACAACTCCCCAAATATGTCTTCCGCATGCCTGCCTGCAACACAGACAGGGAAAGAGACGTATTACTCACTGCACGTTTCTCTCACTGGTGCAGCTCCTACAAGGCGGGTACATGGATGGAACTCCAGCATTGCAGGGCTAGACCTATTGGGTTCCTCATCCCATGACCATATAGGGTTGGAGCAGGAATTCTAGTCGATAACTTGTAGGCTGGCATCCTACGTATCAATGTGCGTAAGTGGATAGCCGCACTTCAGTCCTCCTGCCAGAAGGTGGCAGACTCACTCAGGCTGCCGAGCTGCTTGATGATTGCTGCCAGCGTGCTGTTGGTGACACACTCAAGTTCACTGGTTACGCCCTCTGGCAGAGCGCCCCGGCACAAGTGCCGCGGCTCGATGCTCCTCTTCACCAGAGGCATAGCTGCTTCTGTTCTCCGCTCTCACCTGGTGTTGCAAACGTGAGGAAAGAAACAGTTATGTCAAATGACGTCACAGCTGTGGGGACACAGGTAATATCCCGTGTATTTGTTTAGTATCCTAATAAATAACCGAAAATGTCAAATTTTAGGGGTTCTGGATGTTTAAGTTAGTAGTTGTGGCTGGTTAAGCCTCATTCAGTAATTCAGTTGCATGTGATCTTAGGGAAAGACATGTTTAATAGTAATGAAGTTAAACTTTACCAGACACAGCGTGGACAGACAGACACAAAGCTGGATTTGTGTCCATGATGCTTACCTGACTTTTAGAAAATTTGACCGATTTTTAAAAATAATTTTTAATATAGCAGAAATTTTTGTTTCATTACAAATTGAGTGTTTCATTACAGGCCAGTGATTAATATCTGATATCGCTGTGTTGATTATTAATACTATTAATATTCCGCCACAATTACTAAAAGCGCTCTTTAGCGATGTACTGCCAAAGTCAGGAAACACACATTCCTGCCACTATGCTAATGTACCAAAGTGGTTGTGTTGAATCGATCTAGAGTAGGCAGAAATCTCCTCAAAAGTCATCAACCCAACCACATTCTGCATGGTGTCGTCTGCAGCTCTGTTCACACACAACAGCTGAGACCGGACAGTCAAAAAGGAAGTTTCTACATCCCTCAGTATGGATGCCATCTTGATTTTACCGATATGCCATTTTGTTAAAGTCGTAAAGAGAAACATGCCTCATAAAACATATATGGTTACCGTCGATAAGCGTGTAAACCTCATGAGCCCTTGATGCACCGCAGCTCGCCCAGCAGGAGGGGGGGGGGGGGGGGTTTTGAATTTCTATTGCCATATTTATTTTTTAAGGGACTATTTATTGTGAATCCTGTGACCTCATTCAGCTCCTGCTTGATTGGCCACCAGCCAGATGCTAACCGATACATTTTATTTTTCCTTCCTTTGCGTTTGACATTCGACAGCTGCACCGTTAGCATTCGCTAAACTGCTTGCTCTCCTCTTTCGGTGGGTAAAAAAAAAAGAAGCTAAATCCAATTCATGCCAGTGAGGCGGCTTTGAGGCCAAGATGGAACATCTGGGGTCCCAACACAAAAGCAGATGTTCGAAGAGACATGATGACTGGGAAAGATGGTGGGAATGATCAGAAAGGTGCACAAACCACGGCCAGGAAACGCATCACCCCCCAGCAAGAGGAACATGACTGAACCTCTCTATCATCCCAATAACTTAACAGCAGGAGACTTCCGAATATAATTAAGATCATATTCCAAACGCATATTAAGAGGAAAACACAGACCTGTGGTAAACTACACAGGCGGTGCAGGCGAACAATGTTTATACCGCCCTGGCAAATCCAGTGGCTAATTATGCTAAGTGCGATTATGCCGCCATGAATAATGCATAAGTGGAGGACGAGAGCGTGGGAGAGGCGGCAGGAATGCACAGCAGCATCGTCTCTGCAGAATTCCAGGGATCTGGCCCAAGTAAAAAAGACAATGCCTAGCAACCAGGGGGGGGGGGGGGGGGGGGGGGGGGAATGGGAGGGACACAGATGTCAGCGGAAAGCTAAGCCTGGTGTCATGAATTGTGTGTAGGCATGCGTGTGTGTGGGTCAGATATACATTACATTGTGGGGACCAAATGTACCCACAATGTGATAAAAACCTGTTATTTTGACATTTTGGGGACAGTCTTTTGATCCCCATAAGGGGAAACTTGATTTTGTAAAAATCTGTCAATGCAATAAAAAAAAACTAAATATGCCAAAAGTCTTGTATTTGGGTTGGTTACTTATGGTTAAGGTTAGGGTTAGGGTTAGGGTTAGGTTAGGGTTAGGGTTAGGTTAGGGTTAGGGAGAGGGGGGGGTAAGGTCAGGAGTGTAGGGATTAGGGTTTTGCCCATAGAAATGAATGGACTTGGTCTATCCCCACAAAGATATGAATACAGGTCTGTGTACGTGTGTGTGTGTGTTGTATTTTTAAGGATTCTAGTTTGTCAGAATGTATGAGAGAACTGATGTGTGTGTCAGGGTGTGATGGGTGTATGCGCATATTGGTGCGTAACTGATAACTATGGAATACGAGGGTGTGTGTAAGGAATGAATGAATGAATGAATGAATGATTAACTGTGTGTGCAAGACTGTGAATGAGTCTCTGCATGTGTCTCTGATTAGAAGTGACACACCGATCTGGAGGCGCACATCTGCTAATTGCAGACTAACAGATTACAGACAGAAACATTCTGTGCTCATCTTGTATCTACATGACTCCAAAGAACATTTACTAAAGGAGTAGAGAGCGGGGCCTCATTGCAGCATCCATCATCAGTACAGCTACTAAGGGAGTAGGGAGCAAGGCCTCATCAGTACAGCTACTAAGGGAGTAGGGAGCAAGGCCTCATCTGTA